CCCAGCCCCTCCACCCAATAGCTGGGTGACCTTCAGCATGTCACTGGATTTACCTGTGTCTCACATTACCCATCAGAGAACAGCAATAGTTGTGGTTCCCACACAGTCTGGTCGTTGTGAGAATTAAATGAGTTAACATGTGTTCTGAGTGCTGAGAACAGAGCTTGTGTTTAAGTACCTGTTCTGATTAGTGTAAATTTTACCTACAATGTTGATTTTAATCAAAATCACACCCTCCAGGCCAGCAATTACTGTAACCTGTGGTTTCATGTCTGTCAGAGTCCCAGCACTGGGAATGGCTCCCTGGCACCATCACAGCTTCTCTGGAAGTGGGTGAGGCTTGGTGGTGGATCTTATGCCATTTTTTTTTTTAGTCATTTAGGTCCCTGGTCTCATTTCTTCCACCAGATCAGAGCTCCCAGGAGCAGGACAAACATGGGGTCATTTATTTTTGCCCCCCAGGGCCCAGACTTTTTATGAATGAAGGGCTCACCAACTACTTGGTGGGAGACTAACAGCTCAGCTCCCAGGACACAAAGGAGGTGAGCATGGGGATGGCTTCAGTGCACTGCCTAAGGATAATTTCCAGGCAGCAGCTCAGGGAGGGGGTGCCAGGAGAGCCTTGGGGCCCTGAGGAGATACAGCAGTCTCCAGAGACTGAATGCAGGGCAGAGAACTGGGTGAGAAGCACTACAGAGAGAGATCTGGAGATGTGCTGAGGGGCCCTCCCAGCGTCCAGGTGAAGGCCTATCTGCAACATGCACAAAAGGGAAGCAACCCAGGCTGAGAAGATACCACTGGAATCAGCAGGCTGGATGATGAGCCAGGCTCGCCCATGGCTTATTCCTGTTCCCCTTCGCGATAGTGGGTATACCAGCCACTGGTGCTGGCTAGTTATCAGAAAATAACTGTACTTTCACTGGTTAACCAAGTAACCCCCAAATACAGCAACTTGAGACATGACAGAAGTTAAAAGTTAGCCTCAGATGATTAAATTGAGTTTTAGTTTTCTTGCCTGTGACCAGAACAATATACAACACCTTTCAGAGGAACACAACAAAATCCAGTACCAAAGAAAGTAAAATTCACAGTGTTTATCATCCAATAGTAAATGACTTGGCATGAAAAGAAGAAGAAAAGTATCTCCACAACCAGGAGAAAATCCAAGCAAAAGAAACAAGTCAGAAGGTGACAGAGAATGGAATTAATAGACAAAAACCTTAACCAGTTGTTAAGAGATTTTATACAAATACTTGAAGGCATAAAAGAAAACATGAACACATGAGTAAAGATCGTAAGACTAGATAACACATGATACCAGACACCTAAACAGAACATGGAGAAATGAAGAAAATATAACACCTGAAATGAAAAATACATTGAATGGGATTACAACAGATTAGCTGCTGCCAAAGAGCAGGAGCTGAGACCTTCTTAGCAGAGGCTCAGGTGACTAGCCTCCTACAGCCTTGTCAGTTTATCCATCTCCTGCTCAAACTTCAAACTGCCCTTGTGCAAAATGCTCAACAAAGGGGCAGCTGGAAGCCTTTGCACAGGCCGGGCCTGGGGCCCTGCAATGCCATCACTGTCATCACTTGATGTTTGGACTGCTCTGCATTCCTCCATGATCCAGCATAGCTTTCCAGCCTGCTCTTCAGAAGCTCCTGCCCCCACCTCAGGAGGCCCATACCAACGTGCCCATGTAAGCAGGTGGCAGCCACAGCTGGGTGGAGAGATCACATTCTCTGTGACCTGCCAGCACCAGAGTGATGAATTCCAATACTGAGGGTGTGACTTGTCCGCGCACACAGCTCTGAGGAGTTTACAAAGGGCCCTACAGACTTTCACCTTCTCTCATTTTACACATGAAGCAGTGGGGGCACACCAGGTCCCCAAGTGGGAAAGGAACAGAGCACAGCCACCGTCTCCTGCTCCAACATCAGGACTCAAGCAGCCTAACTGAGCTTTTGAGCCTCTCCATCTCACAGTTATGCTCTGATAGAGTGAGGGATCTGGGTGGGAAGCCTAGGACGGAACTGGGGCCATCCCAGTACACGCAGAGCAGGGATCTGGGCTCAGGGAAGCGCTCGGGATGGAGCCGTTTAATGCAATCATTCCAAAGTCTGAGAATGTGGGCCTTAAGGCATTACAGGAAGGGCTGGGGCAGCAGCTGGCCCCAGGTGAGGAAGTTCAAGCACAGAGTTAGGATTTCCAGTCCCCTGGCCACCCTCCTCTGCTGCCTAATCCGAGTCTCCTGGTCATCTACTCCAAAAATCTGTAATAGCACCCGGGAATCAAAGTGGAACACTGTGGTGCACTTTTTTTATTTTATTTTTTTTAACCTCTGGGACTAGCAGAGAATTAAAACCCAGTGTTGCACTGTGTAGGAAATCAGGCACAAGTTTGTATTCTAGGTGAGAGTGTACAATGGTACAGCCTTCTGCTGGAGGACAATTTGTCATTATTGGAAAAATTCTAAAAAATACATTGATCCAACAACCAAGTCTGAGAATTATAAATTAGACTGGTACACATGGCTATACAGATACATGATTCAAACAAGGGTGTTTGCTACAATGCTCTTTGAATTAGCAAAAACTTAAATAGGGTATGGCCACAACAGCTATCCATAAGGAGGGGAAAATAAAATAAACTGGTTCATCCAAGCAATACAATAGTATGCCATTATTTAAAAGAATAAAATACATCTTAATGAACTTACAGAAATACCTAATGTAATTTGTCATTAGATTTTTAAGAAGTGAACAAGCATGTGATGCATAGAAAAGGCAAAACTTATTAGGGGATGAGGGGAGAATTGGGATGTCAGAGGCCTAGGTAGGTCTTGATGCCAGGGTTCTTGTTTGCAGAGCAGAAGAATGAATTTAGCAAACAGTCAAGGTAGGAGAGCTGGGGAGACTTTTATTGAGAGATACAGTGAGAGGACAGACAGAGCTCCTGGCATGACCCAGGTAGGGACAAGAGAGCCTGGGTGGTGCTCTGTCTAGGGGATTTATAGGCTGTTGAAAGACAAAGAGCTAGGGATATAGATCCACCACATGGTCTCTAAATGTTTATCTTTAAAAAGACACTAAGTTTCTTATCAGTTTTCCGGATTATTTTGAGTAGTTATCATAAGACATTTACTGCTTTGATTCTTAGAGTAGCAGTTTCTTGGTTTGGGAGCACATCAGTTAAGGCTGTTTGTTTTGTTTTCAAGGTGAGTTGAGTTATTGACTTGATTAGGAGAAAAAGCAGCATCTGGATAAAGTTAGAGATAAACTGGGCTTTTTAGCAGGCTAAAGTAAATTTTACAATAGCTTTATTTAATTGATACAAAAAAAGACATGGGCTATGCTGAGGTATTTTCTTACCTGGGAGATGTTCAAACATTCCAGGTTAAGTTATTCCTGGCTTTTTAATTTTAACTAATCTTCACTAAAGAATGCTTATATTCCTAGTTTGATATTGCACTTTAGACAATTCTTGTGATTCTGACTTGGCTTAACTGTTTAATATGGAGTTTTGGTAGGGGTCTTTTTTTAGAGGCCCTCACCCTACTCTGACTGCACCCATGGTTCCTGTCTCAGTCTCACACTCCCAAAACCATCAGCTTCAGATTTTTTACTTTGTCTGCACAGATTCACCCAGAGACACTCTGGCCTGACTGAAGTGAGCCATTCATGGAGCAATGCTAAACGTGGGTCCCACTTGTGAAATGAAGAAAAGCTGCCTGCTGTACTAGGGACCACCAAAACGTTTTCTAAAGTCTGAGTACTAAAGGTTTCATTAATTCTGGGAGTTGCAAAATGGCCACCCACGAGAAACTACGCAAACCAAACCAAAACAAAAAACCCCATCTCGCATCTCCACATTCCTGTTAAAGGGTAAGCAAAATGTTTACCTTTCCCGTTAGCTTCCCTCAGTGCCAAGGGCTGACCCGGGTGTGTACTGTACTAGCTCTTTTCTTTGCATACCGTTCCTTCCATGAATGAAATGTACGCCTGTGCAGTTCTCTCTTGCCTTGTTCTTTGCTGATATAAACACCTTTGATGTAAACTTGGGCTTTTGGGGACATTTCTCCTCCCCAACCTCTGGGAGTTAGGGGTTTTTTTTTGTCTAGATCCAAAATCTGGCTCAAATAAAACTCTGCCTTTATTTTTAGGGTGAGTTACTGAATTTTTCATTGACACACCTAATAGATACTATTTTAAAGGTAAGTTCTGTAATTTTATGAGTACAAAATGTGGTTGTTTTTTAAAATTTACTATTAAATAAAAACATTTAAAATGTCATTAGTCCTATAACCTTTTTGTCATTGTAAAGGAATTGTTTTAATATATAAAGAATCTCAAAAGCGCAATCAGCCAGTCCCTCAGTCAACCTGGGAAAGAACTGGAAGCGCGCCCATGGTTTCTGTAGCGAATTTCATGGAGCTCACCACCAGCCGGTTTTGCCTCTGAAGAGAAAGCAAAGCGGAAACCTCACACCCTGCCTCCTGAAGGAAATCTTAAGACCCCGGGGCCGGAGTTAGGTAATTGTTAGTTGTTTCTACAGCCCTGTACTTTGTACGGTGCAAGGAAGTGCCTGGAAAGAACTTGGCAAACTGCTCAGTGGGGACCCTCAGGAGTCAGAACCGACAGAAGAGGAAGTCACCGGAGGGCATGTGACTTTTCCAGGGCTGCACATTCAAGATTTGCAAAGAGTATGTTTTAAAATTAAATACAGGCTCCCAAGGGGGAGAGGGACTTCAGGCACCTTGAATGCTGGTAGGGAGTTTTCAACTCATCTTCGTTGTTTCTGGAGTTCGGTTCTGGGGCAGCAAGACCTGCCTGGATCCTGGAAGGCCCTGCCGCGCCCGGAGACCCCTTTCTCCCCCGGACTCTATCCCGACATGCCCAGGACGCACGTGACTCGGGCGGGAACCCCGCCGCCACGCGCACAACCACTCCGGGCCCCCGCGCGCGCCTGCCCACTCCAGGTACCGCGGCGGCACTCACCGGCAGCAGGAGCCCGACGACGACGACGACGGTAAGCGTCCTGGGGCCCCGGAGTGGAGGCCAGGCTCCCGCGCAGGCCGGTGCCCTCGGTCCGCGCGGCGCCGTGGGGCCCTTCGGGCGCGCTCGGTGTTCCGGCCGCCGCGGGGCGAAACCCGGCCGAGTCATGGGGAATGGCCACGGTGGAGTAATTCCTGCCGCGCGGGGGGGGTCGTCCTCCGACTGGCCGGGCCCGGGACGCTGCTCCTCCGCCGGCACGCACTGTTCTTCCCGCGCTTGGATGCGAATGCCCAGACCGTGCCTCGCCTTTTATATAGGCTGGTATTGTGCAATCCATGCGGGGTGAGTCACAAGGGTGGTGCCCGCTGCTCTGAAGCGGAAACCAGGCGGAGCCGTCATAAGGTGTCTCTGATCCAGGGCCAGTGTCCCTCCTGTTCATAACCCCCGGGCCACCTTCCTTCTGACGACCGCCTTCAGCCCACTCTGAGCCCCTGTGCTTCCTCTCCCTCACCGACCGAGTGCATGGACGTCATTCATCCAGAGTCACGCTGTAGCTCTGTCCACCTGGGTGGCTTTCTTGGTCTGGAGCTTGACCTTAGCATCTCAGTAGCCCCGTGTCCGGCTGGGAGCAAACGCTCAGTGAAGGACTGGGTGGACAGAATGAGGGGCACAGAGGCCATGGTGGAGGGTCTGAATTCAGGCCGTCTGGAGGTCCCACAGCTCCCCCATCCCCATCTTGAGCCTTGTGGTGTTTCCAGGGCCGTCTTCCGTCTTTGGTCTCAGGTCTTCATGTTATCTCAACCCAACTGCTGCTGTAGGACTGAGGAACCCACTTTAGCCCTTCTTCTGGATTTTTCTTCCCTGTTACATTCGTTAAGGCCCCTGGGAAGCAGAGCGCAGGAGGCTAATTGGCACTTGAAGCTCTGTGGGCTAGGAGGGGGTGTCCCCACGTGGGTGAGGCTTCCCCAGCTCTTCCCATACACCCAGCACTCTGCTAGGCCCAGACTGAGGGGATCCACTATTCTGAAAGCAACAGAAATCTGAGTCCTGCTTTCCGGTCCTTAAAGGGTGATTTTAGGATCGGACAGTGGGTAGGAGAGAAGGGAACCAGAGGTGGTTTACAGCTCCACTCTCTGCATGCGTTTTGCCCAGCCAACGGTACTATGAGTTGAGGTCCATTTTTCTCCATACATTTATCCAGTTGTTCCAGCACCATTTATTGAGAAGACTTTCTTTTCCCATGGAATAGCTCATGCACTTTGTTGAAATTCAACTGACCATATATATGGTCCATTTCTGGACTCTGTATTTTGTCTAACTGACCTATTACTTGTCTACCCTCCTGCCAGTACCACATTGTCTTGATTACTGTAGTCACTCTTGAAATCAGGTAGTTGAAGTCTTCCAAATGTTCTTTTTTTTTTTCCCTAAAATTATTTGTATTTTGATATAAATTTTCTCTCACATAAAATTTTCAGTTAAGAAAGTCCTGCTGGGATTTTAATTGGCATTGCATTGAATATAGAGATCAGTTAAAATAATTGACATCTTAAAATACTGAGTCCTCTAATTCATAAGATGGTTTTATTTTAGACATACCTTACTTTAAATCTAGAGTATTTTATAAGCTACATATATGTTGTACACATCTGTTGTAAATGTATTCCCAAATATTTTTGATGCTATTGTCAGTGGAGTTGGTTACATTATTATATTTTCAAATTGTTCATTGCTGCTATATTAAAAACAAGTGATTTTTGTGCATTGATCTTGTATGCTATGATATTGCTAAATTTATATATTTCTAGCTGTCATTTGGTAGATATATTTAAGATCTTCTAAGGAAGCAGTCGTATTGTCTGTAACTACGAGCAGTCTTTCTTATTTCTCCTTTCCACTCTTCATGCCTTTCGTTTGTCTTTCTCCTGTTTACTCACCCTGGTTAGGACTTCCAGTATAATGAACAGGAATGGGGAAGGCAGACATGCTGTCTTGCTCTCCATCTTAGAGGACAGAAACACACAAATACATCACTTTTAGATAATGATGTTAGTTGCAGTTGTGTTCACAGGTGCTCTTGATCAGATAAGAGTTCACTTCCATTCCAAATTTGGAATGAATGTTTATCGTGAATGGATGTTGAATTTTGTCAAACATTTCTCTGCATTTCTTGAGACAACCCTCTGGCTTTTCTCCTTTGCTAAAGTGATGAATCAAAGTGATGGACTTTAAAATGATAAACCTACACTGAATTCCTGGGCTAAATTTCATTTGTCACATGTATTGTCCTTTTTACATATTGCCTGATGTGACTTGCTAAGAATTTTTTTGTGTCTCTATTCATGAAGATATTGGTCTATAATTATCTCTTTCTGCAATGTCTTCGTAAGGTTTAGGTACTAGGGTTATGCTGGACTTACAAAATAAGCTCAATTTCGAGAGTTGTATAGGACTATTATTATTTCTTCCTTAAATGTTTGATAGCATTCACCAATAGCACCTATGGACCTGGAGGTCATTTGTTGTTTTTATTTGTGTGTGAAGGTTTTTGATAATAAATTAAAATCTTTTAATAAATATGGTGCTGCTCAGATTTTCTTCTTTATGTGTTTGTTTTGACAGTGAAGTTAAAAACTTAGATTAGTGACAAATTTCTTTAAAAACTTCATTGTCAAAACAAACACATAAAGAAGTAGAAGTATTTTCAAATATGTATTCGTCAAACATATTGGCACAGAGTTGCTCACACTGTTCCCTTATTATCCTTAATGACCATGGTGATTTCCTCTCTTTTATTGTGATTTTGGTAATTTGTGTTTTCTCTTTTTCTTGATGAATTTTTGCTAGGGATTTATATGTTTTATTAATCTTTTCTAATAGCTATGACTATGTCAGTTTTCTTTGTTTTTCAGGTTTATTCTGTTTTCTATTTCATAGGTTTCTTCTCTTTATATTAATCTTATTCTACTTATTTTGGGCTTATTTTGTTCTTTTTTTCCTAGCTTCCTAAGTGGCAAACTAGATCATTGATTCAAACTCATTCTTTTTTACTAATATAAACATTCAGTCTCGAAGCCTTGCTCTAGCTGCTTCCCATAAATTTTGATATGTTGCATTGACATTATCATTCAATTTGATTTCCATGTGCACTTGACCCTTGCACAATGTGGGGGTTAGAGGCACCAACTTTACCACAAAGTTGGAAATCCTCATATAAATTTTTATTTCCCCAGAACTTAACTACTGTTAGAAGCCTTGCTGACCAGAAGCTTTGCTGATAAGTCAGTTAACACATATTTTGTATGTTATATGCATTATATATGGTAGTCTTACAATATACTAAGCTAGAGGAAGGAAAATGTTAAGGAAACCATAAGTAAGAGAAAATACATTTATAATACTGTTTTGTGTTTATGATGCCTTAAGTTTATGCCATCTGGAATAAGTTTACAAAAGAGATTATCTCGAGACTTGAGCTCCCCACAATAACCCCAGGAGGCAGCTATGGAATTTTATTAACAGGAATGTAGTATAGTAAATCTTGTGCAGTTATGCTTTAATACCTCATCTTTAAGTTGCTTGCATTTCTCCTGACTGCAAATGGCACCATGAATGGTCTATAAGTATTTGTGTCCATAAATTTGAATGAATTTTAACTTTTTGTAATAAATTTTTATATATTTTATGGTAGTAAATGATAAAACAGACTAGTATCTACATATATTTTATACATTCATGACATACCTTTTTCTTAATTTTTTTTGATTGGCTTTTCAGATTTTTTAGTTTTTCCAAATTGTCACATATCTCCAAAATTTTTTCTAATATTTTTATGGAAAAAAAAAATCCACTTATAAGTGGACTCATGTGTTTCAAACCCATGCTGTTCAAGGAAGGATCAACTAGTTTCTTCTCTAACCCATGGACTACTTAGAACTATGCTGTTTAATTCTAAATATGTAAGTGTTTTCTTAATATTTTAGTGTTATTGATTTCTATTCAATTCCATTGCAACCAGAGAACATACTTTGGTGCAGTTTCAATCTTTTAAAATTTATTGAGATTTGTTTTACAGTCCAGAATGTGCTCAATTTTATTGAACATACTATATGTGTTTAAAACAGTTTAGCTTTGCACAATTGTTGGGTGTAGTGTTTTATGACTGTTAGTTTGGTCAAAGTCATGATTAATTTTTTAAATCATCTATGACTTTACTGATGTTTTTTCTGACTAGCTGTTCTATGAATTATTGAGCAAGGGGTGTTAAAAATCTCTACCTATGATTGTAGATCTGTTTATTTCTCCCACTAATTCTGTCAATTTCTGCTTTAAGTCTTTAAAGCTCTGTATTAGGTACACAGGTATTGTTGAGTGTTATGTCATTTTGATTAATTGCTCCTTTTATCATTATTTATCTCTTTTTATCTTTGCTACTATGCCCTATATAAAATCTACTTTGTTTGACATTAAGAATCACCAGCTTTCTTATGCTTATTGATTGCAGTACATCATCTTCCATCTTGTACTTGTAATTTATCTGGGACTTTATATTTAAAGTGCATACATTTTAGATAGCTTATAATTTCATCTTGCTTCTCTTTCCAGTTGAAGAATCTCAGCTTTGTAATCGGATTTTTTATCCTAGTTACATTTATTATTGTGGCTCTCTTTGGAAAATACAATCTGCCATAATTTCTTCATTTTCCTTTTGTTTTTAAAGATATTTTCACTGAACATAATTGAGTAATGGTTCAAACGTTTCTTTCATCACCTTAAAGATTCTGAGCTCCATTGTTTTAAGGCAGTTTTCATTTATTGTTATTATGAATGCAAAAAAATATTTTTCATGCACAAAATTTTGTTTTTCTTACAGACTGTGATGTGCCTCGGTGGTATTTTTTTAAATATTTATTTTCCTTTGACATTTTTAAGGTGTTTGAACTGTAAGTTGTATATTTTTCTCTACATCTGAGAATACTTCAGCCATTTTTTTCCCATTCATTCAGGCATTTCTTTTCTCTACACATTGCATGATATGATTCTCCCACAGCTCACTGAAACTCTATTCTTTTTTTTCTTTCAATTCTTTTTACCTCTGTTTTTCAGATTGGTTTCTATTGATCTCTCTTCAAGTTCACTCATTCTTTCTCCTGCAATGTGCAAACTCTATTGATAATATTCAAGTGAATTTTTCATTTCAGTTCATGGAATTTTCAGTTACAAAATTTTCTTCTGGTTCTTGTTTTATAGTTATGGTTTCTGTGCTGAGCTATCTTATGTTCCACTCATTTCAACAATCTTCTGTA